GAAAATGCACTCCCACAGTGTCCTGCTCGCCTGTTCCAGGGGTTAGTATCCTTGTCTCGGGTTTTCCCCCTGTTGTCAAAGGTTGGAAAGTATAATATTTGAGCTAACCTCCCTGCTACAAAAAAGCAATAAAGGAATCAATAGCAAAATCAATTCAAGAATCAACAGAAATTCCAAAATAGAGCTTATCGCAAATCTATTGATAATATCAATAAATTTTGCTATTGAAAATTTCAATAAAACACCATTGGTTTAATTGATTAGAATCAATAGAGGATGCTCAGGGTACATGTGGCTACGAGCCATCACCGAAGCTTTGCTGAAGGTTTCCAAAAAATGGTACTCTGTCAAAAAACTGGGTTTCGCCGGCATATCACACGTGATGGAGGCCTTGTCAACTCCGGTACCTCTGGGTGGTCTGGGTGTTTACAGTGATGCAGTTTCTGAGGGTTCGAGGGCTCAAACGAACACAAGCGCTCGATCGCGTTTTTGCCCCAGTGCGTGCGGGCACGTCCTTTTCGTGTTGTGTCTGCTGTGCGGTGGCCATCGCTGGGTTGTTTGTGGGGGTGCCCATCCTTGGCGACCGTGAAGGCTACACGATGTGCTGCGAGTCCTTCGTGGCACAGAAGAGCGAGAGCAAAGCGCTCTACAGCGCGCAAGCCGTTGCGACAAGAGAAACACAAGCCGACCCACAAGGCTTCGAAGGGCAAGAGGGACAGGCTGAACAAGGCCTGGCAGATCTTGTCCTCGCACCACTCATCACCTTCGATGGGATGGAATGCATACAAGGGTTCCGGCCAAGAGGGCTACTGGAGTGGAGCATGGCCAAGAAAAGGCAAAGGAGACGACAAGAAGGATGTCAACAAGGGCAAGAACACGAGCAAGAAAGAGGGGGATGGGGAATTTCCCACTTACTCCTCGCTGGAGCGGTCTTCCTCTTCAGCTACCACGCCGTCGGTGGATTCGAAGCAGATCAAGGAGGCGGTTGCAGCCTACCTGGTCGAGCATGGTTTACAGTCGACGGAAGAAGCTGCCAAGGTTTTGGAGACTGAGAGATTCAGGCAGAGCAGAAGTCCTTGAACTCCAGGAACAAGGTCACACAGAAACTGGAGAAGTTGAAATCGCGGCTTGCCGCCAAGAAGAAAGCATGGGTGCAGTTCCAAGAGCGGCTCGACGCACACCGCAAGGCACAAAAAGAGGTGTACGAGTCGGAAGTCAAAGAATTGGAGAAGGGAGATCGAGACCACTCAGGAGCTGGAGACCATGCTCAAAGAAACCGGGCGTTTAGGGCCTGGAGATTTAGGTATGAGCCCAGGGCACTGGGCATGGAAAACATCGAGCTAAAGACAGAGCTTCTATAGCATCCAAGAGGGCACTGTCAGATTTGACGGAGCGGTTCAATGCCTACATGGTGCAGCGGGGAGAAGTAGCTGCAGTCCTGGTGGGACCTCAGCAAGTGAAGCCTCCCTCTGCAGCTTTGCCAACTACTCAGAAGGACCGAGAAAGAGCGGCACGTTTGGCTCAGGTAGAGAGGATGAGGTCAACACTCGAACATGGATCCAAGCGAGAAGTCCTCGAAGAGATGCTTCTCAGTCCGTGGATTCAAGCAGGTCAGCCGGTTTGTCGCAGATGGAGTCATAGCTGACAAGTTATGGCTGGATGGATGTGTTCTTCTTGAGCACTACATAGCCACTTGGAGTCTGTCAGAAGCTTTTTTCTCGGGGTCTCTTTTATAGGACACCTCGAGATTAGGAATCAGGGAGTTGACCCATTTGTTGGTCTGAACCTCAAGGGGATTTGTGCTAGTACACTTGACATTATCGGGAGTGGTGTCATTAGATGGAGCATCTGGCGCCTGGCTTAAAACGGCGACATTGAGCTGCTTCAGTTCACCTTCAGTTTGCTGGTCAGTTTTGGCTACCTATATTTGGGTTGTGGAATATCAAGACCTCCTTCTTGATGCGTTTTCCAATGCTGCTGCCCTAACTGTGGTACCCTGCTTCGTGGCTGGCCATTTTGGTCTTGGATTATGCTGCTTTTTGCTGATGATCAAAGCCATGTACATTTTCTACAAGAAGCTTCTTTCTCTGTCCTCTAAGAGGTTTCCGAGACGAATGTCTTTTAATTCAATGGTATTTGAACTCGGTAGCTGCTGCTGTTGCAGCAATCTGGCAAGTGTCGGGTGTCTCTCAAGTCTTGCTGGAAATATGGGGCTTTCCGGATGGTGTGCATATCAAGAACACGGCTGATTTGTCAAGAACTTGCTCCCCTCTGCCTTGTGGGGTTGGGACAACTTGTATTGTCCAAGAAGGCAGCAATTTTGGTTCGACCGGTCCAGGTTTTGGCACACCCGTCGATAGGTCCGAATCGTGCAATTGTTTTTTCGAATGCAGACATATGCAGCCCAAACTGGCTGATACTTGTGTCCACGGCAATTTTGTGTCTGTCCGCAGTGGTGAGCTGCTGCACTTAGAAACTATTCTCGTTTGGGGCAGTGTTCTCAGTGAAGATACGATTTTCTCGCTTTACTGTATATTAAATGGTGGGACAATAGAGCAGATCGTCCTTTGAGAGAAGTTGATGCGGCCCGGGACTGGCTGGAGGAGTTGAAACTCCACCTCCCGACGGGACATAGCTCCCTTGGACCCGACTTCTGCAGAGGCGCCACCATTAATTAAGAATTCATGCTAGGCGCTGCACAGACATGAACCGAGCGCGAATCGAAATCGAAATCGAAAAACGCATCATATAGATCATGGGCACCGAAGGTGAAGGTGGATGAGGTGGTGAACTCACTCAAAGTCCACAAGACCTTCGATTAAGTGCCTTCACCCTTCATCCGGGGTGAATAAACAGTCACCTGGGAAACAGATTCCGACCTCTAAGGAAGGTCGCAGGTCAACCTGTTAACCTTGCCCGCAAAGGGTCACATCTTGGTCGCTCAAGGAAAAAGAACGGCAAGGATGCTTGAGAGCGGGACAGAGGAGGACAAATAGTCAATAACACTGCAAACTCTTGACCCCGAAGAGGCTCCAAAAGAGATTGATGCAAGTGAAGAGCAATTTTTGAAGTCGAAAAAAGGTGAAGTTGATCATGGGACAATCCCCAAATCTATCCCAAAGACCCAAGACTAGACTCAAAATTGTCATCTCCTATCATCTCCTTCTCCAAATTCCCCCCAGTCCACACAGTCCACACACATCTTGGGTCCACTCCATCCGAAGAGGTCAGGTTGACCTCTTCGCCACTGACCGTGCGCTCAGGTGGGCGACTGTTTGGATGCTCTGCCGGAGATGAACGTCGTTCCCCTGGCCGGACACTCGTTCCACTCATCCGCGGAAACCACTCGGAGCCGCGGAAGGGACGTGTTGTTTTTGGTTTTTTAGATATTATATTTTGGGAATTTTTGGGATGAAGATGATGTGTTTACTTGTTTGGGAGGCTTCCACTGGTTGGATTCAACTGGGTTTTCAGAGGACATCTATGAAATTGTATGATATCCATCCAGGACATTCAAGATGGATTCAGTCATATTTAGCTCGTTTATGGACGCTGTGATGTAGGAATCATACAGCATTGGCCCTGGGCCTTTGCTGCCATCTGAAAGGTTCCATGTTCGAAAACCATTTTGGTTGACCACCTCTGAGAACATCTCTCTCTCTCTCTCTTTCTCGTTCTCGCAGGGGGGTTTGGCATGGATCTCCATCACCGACCTCAGCTTCTCTTTGAGCACCGAGCCCAGTCCGTCCGACTCGATGAACCGGTCGGCCCCGGAGCGCAGTGTTTGCCTTTTTGGGGGAAAAAACCAGGTGGTCAAAGAAGCTGCTTTGTATACAGGAGGAAGGGGTGCCATTTCTTTTGGTCCAGCCTGCTTGCGAAACAAATACAGCAGCAAGCTGGCTAAAGCACGGTAGGGCGGTGAAGACGAGTCTTCCATGACCTTCTCGTACATTGGAATGCAGTGGATGCAGTGTAAACTACCCTACTGTGCCACGAAGGAACTCGAACACATACGTTGCAAGATGTTGCAACATCGAGCAGAAGAAGGATGGTGAACTTTGTCGGCCTTATAGCTTTAGCTCATGTGGGTCCAGAGATAAATGAGCCTCAACAGCCGATGTTATCTCGGATTCCCTCCAAGAACCTGAATAAGATCAAAAAAACAAAATATCAAACAGCTTTCAAACGCCCCGCTCAGAGTTGGGCCATGTGCCATCCTCCACTCAAGATCACTCAACCGTCCTGACAACAGCTCGGACGTTCTCTTTCAAAAGGGGCACAAGGGTGTTTGTCTCAAAGGCAACATTAAAGAGAAAAACGTCAGACCCTAAAGGCTCAGTTGAAGATGATCGAGAACCTGTCATATATCCAGCATGGCTAAACGGCTATACAGCTGTGGATTTGGGGAGGGATCTCCTCGCTGTTGATTCTTCGAGAGGTGAAATGTTGAAACAAATGCTCCACCGCGGAAGGCGTCTTCACGGAGGCAAACAGATCTTCATGTTTGTTTGCACCATCACTTCCAGGACAATTCTTTTGGAACCGAAGGGCCGCTCCCCTTTTTAGGTGCGGGGAATAGCAAAGTTACTCTTGAAGACTTCTAGTTTGCAAGAACAGCAACACTTGAAGACGAGTCATACTGTCATGATTTAACGTGTCTGCAGATGGGGAGGAGGGCTGCAATGCGGAGGTTGATGGTGTCCGATATGAATCGTCGCATGTTTGCTTTGCAGGCAAGACTGGGAGGCAGAGAACACCACGTCTTGTTTTGGATTGTTTCTGCAGTGATTCTGGTGCGATGATGGTGATGATGATGAATCATTGGCTTCCCCCAGAACCACACTATATATCAATATATAGCAACTCACAATAATTACCTCACATCTGTGTCAGGTAGTTTTGAAAGATACATGATACATTGATATAGTATGATTGCAGTATTCCTCGTTTTTCGTGCAACACAAACTCCGTACGGAACGGAAGAGCAAACTCCCCGCTGCAGTTGGCTCATTGGGGGTCTTAGCCTCTGACAGCGGACAGCGGCTGCGCCGCTGCGCCTTTTGATGGGGTCTGGCAGCAGCGTGAAGCGCACACCAGTCCAGGACTGTGAGGTAGGGAGAAGTGCTGTTTCTGGTCCCCCAGGAAGGCTTCTGAGTCGGAAGAAAGAACTGCAGAGCAATATAGATATGATATTACACAAAAGGCAAGAGAAGGAACAACAAAACAAACTGTGTATTTTTTTTTTTCAGAAGAATGAGAACGATCCTAATAAAGAATCTGAATGTACTTGGAATTTCTATCTCCTCCAGAGAGGTTCCCACGGTGCAGGTGGTTTGTTTCCACGTCCAAAGAGGGTTCTTCACCTTGGGTTCAGGTTCACATAAGCTGTGCTAGTGGTTTCGGACTAGATGTCTTTTAGATGGGGGTCCATGCAATTGTAACAAGACACCTTTTGGGGAGTGTGCCATATACTCTGAAAACCACTCTACTTGGCCATACCACACGTCCAAGATAACACACCAGATCTGCCAGACACAGATCACACCAGAATGTTTGTCATTCCTGGGGACGGTTGTCCGGGTTTCTCTGGGCCCATTTTCTGTGGGCACAACGCAACCCTTCAAGTGGTTCAGGTGAATTCAAAGAGCGCTACAGGGCTACAGAGAGAGGGCGGGAAAGTTGTGGATTTGTTGCCGCAAGTTGTTGAGAATAGGATCCTCCAATCTTTTGGCATATTATGAGCTATGTTTTTTTGCATTCATGAGATTTCTTTGTGTTTTGCATTTCACGAGATACCTTTGGTGTCATCTCCAAAGTGGGCGTTTCTGTCTTTTGGAAACGTTCAAGGGTGGTAATTCTCTTTCAAAGTCTTGTGCCATCAAATCCAAAACATCTCTGAACCGGCCTGGAAATTCCCATGTCTTCCCTCTGGCTCTTCGTCGGTGTCACAGGAGATTGCGCTCCAGACCGTGGTGCCCCAACCACGACGGTCGACCGCCGCCGCTCGGACGGTCATCTTCAACGGTCGGTCGCGTCGGGAGGTTCGATAGGCGCGGCGGGGGAAAGGGTCGGGTTGGTCGAGGTTTGGTGGTCGATGGGTTCAAGGTGGTTGAAACTGGGTTTTGAAACTCTGAAGTTCGATTTGCATGGTGGAAGGTCCAGAAGGTCCAGACTCCAAGAAATTCGGTAAATCTTTGACCTGAATGGTATGGGTATGGAGGGATGGAAGGGATGGAAGAAGCAGCCTTTTCGTTCAGTGTTCCAGTGGTAAGTGCTTCGCGTTCTTCGTGCTTGTCGGGCTTCCAACGGGGCCCTGCTAGCTGATGCGCCCATCGAGTTCCATGGTACGCACCTGTCGACTGAACAAGACAGACCGAGACTTAAGCCTTCGAACGTTCGTTCTGGGTCGACTTACGATGGATCCACCTTTACACTACTTGGGGATCTTGGACAACCAGACAGGATGGTCCAGGTACAGAGAGACTCCTGAATCGACTACCCCTGGCTTGATCGGGAGTCAGATTGCCAGCAGATGTTGGCCCAGGACTGTAAAAAAAAGGATTTGCTCAAAGCATGTTGATACCACCCCTCGACTGTGACATCGCCTCAAAAGTGTCCACAGCGGCTTGCTGTTTTTTGCACAGTCGAACATGTTTGATAGCTGCAAACTTCATCAACATGTTCTATATATGTCCTTTTTTTCTCTTTTATGAATATCCCGTGTTTTTGAATGTGCGGCAAACGTGATGTTCTAAAACACAGGCCCTTGTTCTGAATGTCCAGAAGGGTTCCATGAAAGAGTCCATGTTTTGCCAGCTTTCAATGAACAGCCCTTCTCCAGCCTTCTTGGATCTTCTTGGTGTTCTTAGGACGCTGTGGCGCCGCAGCGGCCCCCCTCGCCGCGACCGCACTCGCCGCGACCGCACGTGCTTTTGGCACCACCGGAGTTTGCCGCGGGCACGAGCAGCGAAGCCTTGGGCGAGGCGAAGCCGACCGGGGGACGAGTGGTGTGTTGAAAACGGCAGGCTCCTGATCAACGGAGTCAGACAGCATTGACCGAAGCAACCCACTGGAAGGAGGGGCGGTCCGTCCGGCCTTTGCCTGGCTTCCAGCTGGCTTACCCTTCGGGCGGTCCGTCGAGGTATAGTGATTTGGGGCGTCTCGTGCCTTCTGGGGATCTTCAAGGTCATGGGAGTTGTTGAAGCAGATGTGGGGATTGCCAGAGAAAAATGACATGAAATGACCATCTGGGAAAACATACGGAAAAATGTGGAGAATCCAAATCGTGCGCTCCATCTGCACTAGGAGGAGATGGTGCTGTCCCTCTCTCAAGCCACTTGGACTTAGTCGGCTTGTTTCTTTTGGGGCTGTCCGTTCTTTACCCCGGAGTTGGTATATTATTACATGACTTGTCTCATCACTTTAACATCACCGTAACTATTATAGTAACTGGAGTTAGGTCTGCAGTAGCTGGAAAGAAGCTACAATTTGATCACACAGCTGGCAGCGATCGAATTCGCAGCGATCTGATTGCCCTGCAGCGATCCCTGCCGTCAACGGGATGCTTTCAGCGCATGATCGATCACCGTCAGCGATCTGCTCACATCGTGTCACCTGCAGGTTCAGCCTGCGCGGCGATAGCGGACAGTATTGGAAGTGCACCATACCCCACTCACTTGGAAGTGGCACATGGTCACACAAAAATGAGGCCATGTAATGACATTTGGTCTTTTCGGGTTTGGTGGGTGAATCTTAAATGCCAACTGCCATGGCTTCATGGCGGCTTTCCACGACCTGACCTTCCACTTCCACGTCTGATGCGGTACGACCGACGGATGTCGGACTCTCCCCCCGGACTGACTCGGAGTGTTTCACTCACCGAGGGAAGCAGTCGGAGTGAGCACAGCAAGGCGGGTGGCTGGTTGCAGCACAGTGGCGGGTGGTGGGAATTCTTGTTTCTATAATAACTTCTTGTTCCTAGTACGCCCAGGAGCCCCGTTCGTAGCTTCTTGTTCCTAGTAGCGATGCCAGCCCCGTTCGTAGCGTCAGGAAACCTGCGAGACTCAAATCGACCCTGAAGGATAGAGTCGGATAGAGTTTCACATCAGCCTACAGCCCCAGAGCTTCCGTATTGACTCATGACTTTGCACCTGGGAGTCATATAATTTCAACTAATCCTGACTGGACCAAGAAAAGATACATAACATGACTGCACTTCACCCTCCTATTTAGATGACACCAACCCCCCCCCCCACATCATCACTCTACTCCCCCACTCCTGGCCTCCTTGCTCGCGGACTCCCCCCAGGCGCGGCACCGTGCGTCGAGGGGCCTTCGTTGGATCGCCCTGGACGCCAAGAACTTGGCGCACGAGCTCACCGAGCGCACGGAGCGCCTTCGGGTCGAGGTCCGTCGTCCGTCGAGGTGGGCGAGGTCCGTGGAGCGGCCGCGGTGGAGAGCGGGTAGAGGAAGGCTTGTCTTCGGTTTGCTTCGAGTTTTGGGAGGGGGAGAGAGTTTTGCTTTTCCATCTGGGGTTAAGGGTTTTCAGTTGGATGAGAGATTTGGATGCATGTGTTTTGGGACAAGAAGATCAATGGCAAGTCTGCAGCAGTTCGATGGAACAAAACAACAATGAGAAAAATGAAGACGCGAAGCTTCTTGAGTTTCTGGGATTCTTTCTCAAGACGCCATCCAGCTACGTCGAGCGTGTCATGGCGGCCTGGCCTTTTTGGGGCGGACGTGTGGTCGTCGTTCGTTTGTTGTTCCGCAGATCGACCGAGTTGCAGGACCCGGAGAGCCTGGAACATCCCTTCGTGGCCTATAGCGAGACATGATGAGACGTCGTGTGAGGCCGGTTCGCATGGGTTCAGACACAGCCTGTCACGCAGCTGTCGAAAGCCATGTTTTTGTGAAACACATGGCGAGTTTGGACGTGTTTTGGAAGATGCTGCAGGAGGATTCAGTGAAATGTGCAGGTTGAATCAATGTCGGACTTATGATTCTATACTTTTGAGCGTCGTTCGACGCCACTGTGACCAGGCTGGACCTTCACATGTCACATGTGTTTTTTCAACCCGACATGCCCGCAGGTGTGCTTCCAGGTGCGCTTCCAGGTGTGCCCAGTTTCAACTCGCTGCCGCTGGTTTGTACTTTCCCTCGCCCGCCGTGGCGAGGGCTTTAGATCGGCCCTCCTTTGGCTCCAACACCCCGACGCGGTGGGTGGAGAACCGGAGTGAGTGGCACTCCGGGTGACGGCCGACGAGTTAGCACGAGAAGCGCGAGCGAAGCACACGTGGCCGGCGCGATTCAGAAGCGAAGAAGAGATCGGAGGTGTGAAACTGCTTGGGCAAATGAAACACATGCCGCATTTGGGGCCCGGCTTCAAGTACTTAAGATATCTGAAAATAGGATATGATGATATGACTCATAACCCATGCATCAACAAATATGAATTTACAACAGGTGCGACTTCACCCATGGTACAAACTGAGACCTTCATGAAGTGGAAGGTCTGGCATCTGTGTGGGATTTGATTGCACGTTGTGGCAGATCCAACAGGTCTTCCATGCAGATTCCTGATTTTGGTGGTGGAAGACCTGCATACCGTACACATAGATCTTACTTTAGATCTTCCTATGCAACATGTCTCCCTGTTCATCCCCCCAAAACCAGCCAAGTTGGGCAGGCATTTTTCATCATTGGATCGACCTGGGTATACATGTTTATACCGTCGTTTCAGTCAGATGTCACCCGGATCAGGTGATGGATTTCAAAAGGAATCGCCTGGAGGGTGAGGCCTTTTGAGGTTCCAAGTGTTTGAAGAGAACGCGCCATCTCCGATGAGGGGGGGGCGAGGGAGAGAAGAAAGGCAGAGGGGAGAAAAGGTTTGACCATATTTGACCACACTGAATTATAAACTAGACCAAACACGACCAGCACCAGAGAAAGGGTGGTGATTGGAGGGAAAATGCGTAGTCAGGGGTGTCTATCAGCAGCCTTTTCTGACAGGGAGTAGCAGATCGGGTGCCTGATAGAAACTCGAAGTCGTTACTTTTTTCAGAGTGCAGCATGCAAGATGTTTCCCGGATTTGGGTTGGTATCGGATCGTTTTCCTCATGAGTCAGTCCATGGAATATCGAGATTTATTCTAAGAATCCAGGCCCTCACATGGTTTTTGAGCTCCGGACCCAGTTCCGGACCCCTGCGTTTCGGTGGCCCGAGCTTGGAGTCTTACAGGAAATGGTTCGTGGAATTCGTAGTTTGCCCCATCGGATCTCGCAAAACGCTTGCTTTCTACCGCAAGACATGTTACGTATACAGTACAGCATATACATGGAACCATTTATGACCTCTTTTGGGTGTGGCTATTCCATGAATGGTCTGAGTCTGGTTCGTTCTTTCAGGTTTTGGAGTCCGTCGACTGACTTCGTCGGGTCGGGTCCGATCAAATGACTTCAGATCCTCCCCTACGTACGTCCAGTCTGACCCAGGTCCAAACCTGGTCGACTTGACCTCCTTAAGTAGTGTTGGAGGCCATTGCTATTAGGTTAGGCCATTCCTGTTAGTATTCCAGCAGGTTCCTATCATGTGTTTGGAATGACCATGTCCAGTAATTCATGAGGTCTGTCCCTGACCTGTAGGGATATGCTTTAGCGATTTTCTTTGGATTTGGTTGGTCTCCAAGGGTTTACTTCAGAAGTTGCAGACTGTTGGGTCCTTTCTTCTGGTCGGATGCTGCCAGACGTGGGGGATTCTCATAATGGATTAAGTTACCTTTCATTCCAAGATCTAACTGCCCTGACCTCCAATCACAACATTTTCATCACTACCAGCTGCTTCCAAGATACCGGTGGACAAGCCTACACTACACATACCTGACAAGCCACACCTCACCAACAAGCGCCCGTAGCTTGTGTACAAGCGCATATAATATAAGCACCCGTGGAATATCAGAAAACATCAGAAGACTAGAGAGAAACATTTGCAGACTGAAATACCAGGCTGCGACTCCAAGAGATATTTTTGGTTCTTTTTACGCCGCAGATCGAGGAACAAACATCACTCTGAGGACGTTAGTTCCAGGTGTAGATAACGTGTTTGGCATGCAGAGCCATAGGGCCTCAGCTTGCTTGAGGCCTCAGCTCAGGGCAAAGCCTCCACCTCATCGAGCAGCCTTCTGCTCTAAAACCGCTGTTTTTGACCAGCTCAGCGCCTGTTTATAGCTCTGCGGAGCATTTTCGCGGCTGGGTGCTCGATGGTTGTCATCCATTGGAGCACGTGGTTCTTTAACAGGGTGTGCTCCAGCGACCCTGGAATGGATCCATCAAGCCACTCGGTAGTCCACTTGGATTCACCCCAGGTGCAAGAAAGAAAACACGATTGGATGAGTTGTTAGTTAATATTATACTGCTAGTTATATAACACCCATGCAAACCAGAGGGTGTTGTCGACGAAGCTAAAGACCGACTCCATGGCGAATTGACTTCAGTTTCTGATGGCGAAAGGCACGACTGAGGCCCCAGACCTCCAAAGGTCCCTTTTTCGGCACAGCGAGCTGTGTATTTAGTACCCATCTAGAAACTTTCTGTTCTCAATGCAGGAAAAACAATCGCCAAAAAAGAAACACACCTTTCTTTCCCCTCAATGTGCCCGGATCTTCAGTTCGTGACCTCTTGGTTGATGTCTTTGTTTGTGACCTTTTACCGGCCTGTTTTTGAGCCAAACATCCTGGGATATCAAGTTCCGTCACGAACAATCAGGTCCTGAAGTCCAGGTCTGGGGTCTTGGTTCCTCCGTGTTCCTGTCGCGTTCAGGCAAAAACAGATCCATCCATCGTCGTTTGTTTGAACACATGTTGTCATATGTTTTCATGCTATCCCGGGTCAATGGGAACTCCCTGCGCCTGCGCCGGGTCAGCTGCCCTCCACCTTTGGTGGACTGCGCGCGAAACCGGCAGCGTCGGACGCGTCGTCGCATCGCCAGTCTGTCGTTCAGTTCCAGAACGTTGGCGGCACGTCCGGCGGCGCGTCCCGCAGCTCGCGAGCGTGCGAGCGAAGTGCCGAGCGAGAAGACGTGCGGATCTCCGACGGGGCGAGGTTGTCGCAACGAGTTGGTTGAACATATAGACTGATCATAGAGTGGCTCGAAGCAAAGGGACCGAAGGGGACATAAGGGGACACTGAGTGAGAGAAACGATGAGCCTCACTGCCCCCTTTTGAAGGTGACGTAATATGAGAACGGCATCGACCACTTAGGGCTGGGGAGTTAAATGATGTCGTTGAGGTGACAAAACGGTTGCCCCATGGTAAGCCATTGTCCTTGACGTGTCTCAAAGCAAAGTGGGAGGAGAACCAGCTGTTCTGTGGGATATGTATGGATCCGTCGACATATCCGTAGAGGGTTTAAGTGTCAGTTGCATTGGAAGGTTAAATAATTCAGTCTTCCCCCAGAAAGACAAACTGAACAAAAACACCAACAACAATGATGAACACCGAACGACAGGCGGCCAATTGGTGAACGTGTGAATTTTATGATGCACCCACCCCTTTCACCAGAAAGGACCGGCGCGGTCTTATTCTACGTACAGGAAAAAACATAAACAAGCAATTTATTTAATATAAACCAAAAAAGACCAAGTTCAGTGAGGCCCCAGGCAGGTTTGGAACGGAATCGGAGGCATGCATGGCTGAGGTTCATCGAATTTGCTCAAAGACGGGGTCCTCGCCATTTGTTCAATTGCCCTGTGTCCTGTGGAGGCGCACGATTCGGCACGAAAATAGCCCGAGCCAGGATCCCTTGCAAAGAATGGAAGATAACTGCAGAATTGCTTCATCCACGATTCTTCAAGGAACTCATCGGCAGTGAAGCCCGGGGACAGTCTACGTGCAAGCTGGACAGATCGTGTGAGATCGCCGCAAGTTCCTAGGTCAGCAGTGGGTCTAAAGAGCGGTCGACGCACCCCTTGGTGAATAGCCCAGTTGGTAATAAGGACGCAATGGCAATGGGATTTCTTCAGCGACCCAGATGGATCATTGGATTCCTTAGATCTAGATCTGGATGGTTGACTTTTTGACACCTGTGATTGAACCAATCATTTGAGGATCCTGGGATTAGATGATGATACATTTATGCATCCCTTGCTGCACAGTTGTGCAACCTTTTTGCCATGCGACGCATCGGATGGCACCGTGCACTCCGTTCTGGTGCCCCGACCTTTCACATGTGACTCCTTGCCTGCGGGGCCTGCATCGTCATGGGTCATTTATCTAGCCGGACCCGTGTGATGTTGGTCTTTTGTTACCTGGGTGGTGACTCGTTGCCTGCTTTGAAGAGCTGCAGGAAAACAGCTGAGCGGGATGAGGATGGCGCCTTTTTGTTGCTTACGGAGCACGACCATTTTTCACATCATGTCCGAGGTGCAAAGCAGTTTCCCCGTTCGTGGCGTTCGTGGACAGTATTTCTGACTTGAAGGTTCGTGTCATGTGGACTCTTCATATATCTGGACCATCCAAGGGGTGTCCAATCGACTACCCCACACTACCTATAGGCTTCCAGACAGGGCACCCCTTGGATGGTCCAGGTATGAAGAGGTCTTTCAATCCATGTTTTGGGGATTGTTATTCATCAAGAGTCTCCATCATTGATCGGTCGGACCTTCGAGAGATTCGCACCCCCTGAGATGTGGACTGTGTCGGTCTAGGAGTGGTTTACTTACACTCCCTGAAACCGTTCATGGATTTTCATGGTTAAATTACACATGGCGATGAAAAGATGACATCAGATGACGTCAGATGACGTCAGATGACGCCAGATGACCATGAATTCTGCAAACAGGTGACCGCCTCCTGCACTTCCATGATTTCAGGGAGTGTACCCGAAGGATCCGAGTCCGGACCCTCCATGGCAAGGGGTCGAACCCTCTATAATTATAACAAGGGCCCCTGGCCCTTGTGTTGTTTCGGTTGCGGGTCCGCAATGGGTAGGGTGAATGTTGTTGTTGTTGTGGTGGTGGTGGTGGTTTATATTCCCAAACACTCCATGAGACTGCTATAGGACTGCCGATCAATTGCGGTGGTTGACTGGGGAGTCTGGCAGTCCGTCCTGGCAGTCCGTCCTGGCAGTCCCATGGATCGTCGCGTTCGACCAACCCGGGGACCGGTCGAGACCACTTTCGGGCTTGCTGGGTGGTGTCCGTGTTTGTTTCTTTCAACCCGACCCATACATTGGGATATATACTGGAAACCCACTGTGTTTTTTGTTTTTTTGGTTCAAGTGAGTTGAAACCACCATGAACTATAGTTTGTATTTGTATGACATAATTGAGTTATTCTAATCTGGTAGTTTTACTC